ACTCTATGTACACAAGGACAGGCCCAGGCAGTAAGTTGACACACTCTATGTACACAAGGACAGGCCCAGACAGTAAGTTGACACGCTATATGTACACAAGGACAGGCCCAGACAGTAAGTTGACACGCTATATGTACACAAGGACAGACCCAGGCAGTAAGTTGACACGCCCATTGTACACAAGGACAAGCCCAGACAGTAAGTTAACACAGTCTATGTACACAAGGACAGGCCCACACAGTAGGTTGACACACTCTATGTACACAAGGACAGGCCCAGGCAGTAAGTTGACACGCTCTATAAACATAAGGACAGGCCCAGACAGTAAGTTGACACACTCTATGTACACAAGGACAGGCCCAGACAGTAAGTTGACACGCTCTATATACACAAGGACAGGCCCAGACAGTAAGTTGACACGTTCTATGTACATAAGGGCAGGCCCAAACAGTAAGTTGACACGCTATATGTACACAAGGACATACCCAGGCAGTAAGTTGACACGCCCATTGTACACAAGGTCAGGCCCAGACAGTAAGTTGACACGCTATATGTACACAAGGACAGGCCCAGACAGTAAGTTGACACTCTCTATGTACACAAGGACAGGCCCAGACAGTAAGTTGACACACTCTATGTACACAAGGACAGGCCCAGACAGTAAGTTGACACTCTCTATGTACACAAGGACAGGCCTAAGCAGTACGTTGACACACTCTATGTACACAAGGACAGGCCTAGACAGTAAGTTGACACGCTCTATGTACATAAGGACAGGCCCAGACAGTAAGTTCACACACTCTATGTACACAAGGACAGGCCCAGGCAGTAAGTTGACACGCTCTATGTACACAAGGACAGGCCCAGACAGTAAGTTGACACGCTCTATGTACATAAGGACAGGCCCAGACAGTAAGTTGACACGCTATATGTACACAATGCCAGGCCCAGACAGTTAGTTGACACGCTATATGTACACAAGGACAGGCCCAGACAGTAAGTTGACACGCTATATGTACACAAGGACAGGCCCAGACAGTAAGTTGACACGCTATATGTACACAAGGACAGGCCCAGACAGTAAGTTGACACGCTCTATGTACATAAGGACAGGCCCAGACAGTAAGTTCACACACTCTATGTACACAAGGACAGGCCCAGGCAGTAAGTTGACACGCTCTATGTACACAAGGACAGGCCCAGACAGTAAATTGACACGCCCATTGTACACAAGGATACGCCCAGGCAGTAAGTTGACACGCCCATTGTACACAAGGACAGGCCCAGACAGTAAGTTGACACGCTATATGTACACAAGGACAGGCCCAGACAGTAAGTTGACACGCTATATGTACACAAGGACAGGCCCAGGCAGTAAGTTGACACGCTATATGTACACAAGGACAGGCTCAGACAGTAAGTTGACACACTCTATGTACACAAGGACAGACCCAGGCAGTAAGTTGACACGCTAAATGTACACAAGGACAAGCCCAGGCAGTAAGTTGACACGCTCTATGTACACAAGGACAGGCCCAGACAGTAAGTTGACACGCTAAATGTACACAAGGACAGGCCCAGGCAGTAAGTTGACACACTCTATGTACACAAGGACAGGCCCAGACAGTAAGTTGACACGCCCATTGTACACAAGGACAGGCCCAGGCAGTAAGTTGACACGCCCATTGTACACAAGGACAGGCCCAGACAGTAAGTTGACACGCCCATTGTACACAAGGACAGGCCCAGACAGTAAGTTGACACGCCCATTGTACACAAGGACATACCCAGGCAGTAAGTTGACACGCCCATTGTACACAAGGACAGGCCCAGACAGTAAGTTGACACGCTATATGTACACAAGGACAGACCCAGGCAGTAAGTTGACACGCCCATTGTATACAAGGACAGGCCCAGACAGTAAGTTCACACACACTATGTACACAAGGACAGGCCCAGGCAGTAAGTTGACACACTCTATGTACACAAGGACAGGCCCAGACAGTAAGTTGACACGCTATATGTACACAAGGAAAGGCCCAGACAGTAAGTTCACACACTCTATGTACACAAGGACAGGCCCAGGCAGTAAGTTGACACGCTCTATGTACACAAGGACAGACCAAGGCAGTAAGTTGACACGCCCATTGTACACAAGGACAAGCCCAGACAGTAAGTTAACACAGTCTATGTACACAAGGACAGGCCCACACAGTAGGTTGACACACTCTATGTACACAAGGACAGGCCCAGGCAGTAAGTTGACACGCTCTATGAACATAAGGACAGGCCCAGACAGTAAGTTGACACACTCTATGTACACAAGGACAGGCCCAGACAGTAAGTTGACACGCTCTATATACACAAGGACAGGCCCAGACAGTAAGTTGACACGCTCTATGTACATAAGGACAGGCCCAAACAGTAAGTTGACACGCTCTATGTACACAAGGACAGGCCCAGACAATAAGTTGACACGCCCATTGTACACAAGGATACGCCCAGGCAGTAAGTTGACACGCCCATTGTACACAAGGACAGGCCCAGACAGTAAGTTGACACGCTATATGTACACAAGGACAGGCCCAGACAGTAAGTTGACACCCTATATGTACACAAGGACAGGCCCAGGCAGTAAGTTGACACGCTATATGTACACAAGGACAGGCTCAGACAGTAAGTTGACACGCTCTATGTACACAAGGACAGACCCAGGCAGTAAGTTGACACGCTATATGTACACAAGGACAGGCCCAGGCAGTAAGTTGACACGCTAAATGTACACAAGGACAGGCCCAGGCAGTAAGTTGACACGCTCTATGTACACAAGGACAGGCCCAGACAGTAAGTTGACACGCTAAATGTACACAAGGACAGGCCCAGGCAGTAAGTTGACACACTCTACGTACACAAGGACAGGCCCAGACAGTTAGTTGACTCGCCCATTGTACACAAGGACAGGCCCAGGCAGTAAGTTGACACTCCCATTGTACACAAGGACAGGCCCAGACAGTAAGTTGACACGCCCATTGTACACAAGGACAGGCCCAGACAGTAAGTTGACACGCTCTATGTACACAAGGACAGGCCCAGACAGTAAGTTGACACGCTCTATGTACATAAGGACAGGCCCAGACAGTAAGTTGACACGCTATATGTACACAAGGACATACCCAGGCAGTAAGTTGACACGCCCATTGTACACAAGGACAGGCCCAGACAGTAAGTTGACACACTCAATGTACATAAGGACAGGCCCAGACAGTAAGTTGACACGCTATATGTACACAAGGACATACCCAGGCAGTAAGTTGACACGCCCATTGTACACAAGGACAGGCCCAGGCAGTAAGTTGACACACTCAATGTACATAAGGACAGGCCCAGACAGTAAGTTGACACGCTATATGTACACAAGGACAGACCCAGGCAGTAAGTTGACACGCCCATTGTATACAAGGACAGGCCCAGACAGTAAGTTGACACACTCAATGTACATAAGGACAGGCCCAGACAGTAAGTTGACACGCTATATGTACACAAGGACAGGCCCAGACTGTAAGTTAACACGCTATATGTACACAAGGACAGGCCCAGACAGTAAGTTCACACACTCTGTGTACACAAGGACAGGCCCAGGCAGTAAGTTGACACACTCTATGTACACAAGGACAGGCCCAGACAGTAAGTTGACACGCTATATGTACACAACGACAGGCCCAGACAGTAAGTTCACACACTCTATGTAAACAAGGACAGGCCCAGGCAGTAAGTTGACACGCTCTATGTACACAAGGACAGGCCCAGACAGTAAGTTCACACACTCTATGTACACAAGGACAGGCCCAGGCAGTAAGTTGACACGCTATATGTACACAAGGACAGGCCCAGACAGTAAGTTCACACACTCTATGTACACAAGGACAGGCCCAGGCAGTAAGTTGACACGCTATATGTACACAAGGACAGGCCCAGACAGTAAGTTCACACACTCTATGTACACAAGGACAGAGCCAGGCAGTACGTTGACATGCTCTATGTACATAAGGACAGGCCCAGACAGTAAGTTGACATACTGAATATACACAAGGACAGGCCCACACAGTAAGTTGACACGCTCTATGTACACAAGGACAGGCCCACACTGTAAGATGACACGCCCATTGTACACTAGGACAGGCCCAGACAGTAAGTTGACACGCTATATGTACACAAAGACAGGCCCAGGCAGTAAGTTGACACGCCCATTGTACACAAGGATAGACCCAGGCGGTAAGTTGACATGCCCATTGTACACACGGACAGACCCAGGCAGTAAGTTGACACACTCTATGTACATAAGGACAGGCCCAGACAGTAAGTTGACATACTTTATATACACAAGGACAGGCCCACACAGTAAGTTGACACGCCCATTGTACACAAGGTCAGGACCAGGCAGTAAGTTGACACGCCAATTGTACACAAGGACAGGCCCAGACAGTAAGTTGACACACTCTATGTACATAAGGACAGGCCCAGACAGTAAGTTGACATACTTTATATACACAAGGACAGGCCCACACAGTAAGTTGACACGCCCATTGTACACAAGGTCAGGACCAGGCAGTAAGTTGACACGCCAATTGTACACAAGGACAGGCCCAGACAGTAAGTTGACACGCTCTATGTACACAAGGACAGGCCCACACAGTAAGTTGACACGCCAATTGTACACAAGGACAGGCCCAGACAGTAAGTTGACACGCTCTATGTACACAAGGACAGGCCCACACAGTAAGTTGACACACTCTATGTACACAAGGACAGACCCAGACCGTAAGTTGGCTCAGTTCCATGGAGACATTATTAACAATGCCATCAATGGCTCCTTTGAAACTTCCAGAGTTTGCTGATAGCAAGGCGAGGGTCCTGTTTACGGTGATATTGTGTTTGTCAGCCTCATACAACTGTTTGGGGGTTTCTTTACACATGTATTAACTATCTGTGTCTGTGTCCAGTTCCTCACCCACGCTGGACAAGCCACCGCACAGGTCGCTGCCGAGGCCGTCAAGTTCTTCCAGCCATTCCAGACTCAACTGGGATCCGTCTTCACTCAGATCAAGAGTGTAGCCGCAAAGCTGACGGGACATTAAATGACTATACAAGAGATTTAAAATAAAACAACCTATCAAAACATTGCCTCCTTGTTTATTCGGTGACGTATGAATGTGTGTATCCGTGTTATACACCATTGTGTGAAACCCACTCTCAATGTCAGTACATTCCGACATACACAATAAGGATGGCAATGCAACAAAGTGAAGCGTGACGCTGAAAGATTATTTACACACTCACCTCAGCAAGTAGGACCTATGTCCTGCATACAGAACATATTGAACAATTCGGTAAGAAAGACAAATAGATAGTACCTGTCTACCCCAGCAGAGACAAAATATGAATTAAATCGTGTACGTATTTATTTTAGAAACAAATTAAAGGGGATACCATTTTTATATATAACAGCGTTATAACCTGCACCGAAATGTAATAAAGACATTGTTCATCCGTACACCTTATGCTACTCCAACTTCTAAATGCCTCTCAAAGACGATAACTTTAGGGGAAGTTATGTGAATTGGAATGCCATTTCTGCTTGTTTTCTTGGCGCCTTACTCCGTGTAGGCTGCCTTGACCTTCATTGTGTGTGCTACCCATTCACGCACGCCTGGTGTTATCCCGTGACCGTGCAGGCACTGACAAGTATATTCAATAAATAGATATGTTCTCATTATTCGCACATCTAAACTTTTCAGATTTAGATTGTCCACCGTTCCATTGCAACATTGTATTTAGTGGCTCGACCAGACAGAAGGAAGTACGTTCTGTTGAAACATTGTATTTAGTGGCTCGCCCAGACAGAAGGAAGTACGTTCTGTTGAAACATTGTATTTAGTGGCTCGCCCAGACAGAAGGAAAGTACGTTCTGTTGAAACACTGTATTTAGTGGCTCGCCCAGACAGAAGGAAGTACGTTCTGTTGAAACATTGTATTTAGTGGCTCGGCCAGACAGAAGGAAGTACGTTCTGTTGAAACATTGTATTTAGTGGCTCGACCAGACAGAAGGAAGTACGTTCTGTTGAAACATTGTATTTAGTGGCTCGCCCAGACAGAAGGAAGTACGTTCTGTTGAAACATTGTATTTAGTGGCTCGCCCAGACAGAAGGAAGTACGTTCTGTTGAAACATTGTATTTAGTGGCTCGACGAGACAGAAGGAAGTACGTTCTGTTGAAACATTGTATTTAGTGGCTCGCCCAGACAGAAGGAAGTACGTTCTGTTGAAACATTGTATTTAGTGGCTCGGCCAGACAGAAGGAAGTACGTTCTGTTGAAACATTGTTTTTAGTGGCTCGCCCAGAGAGTACGAGTACGTTCCATTGAAACATTGTTATCAGGGCTTCGTCCAGACAGTAAGTTTCATTGAAACAACGAGTTCAAAGGTTGACCCAGACAGTAAGTTACATATCAACGTTGTATTCACGCATGTAACATCTGTGTCTGTGTCCAGTTCCTCACCCACGCTGGACAAGCCACCGCACAGGTCGCTGCCGAGGCCGTCAAGTTCTTCCAGCCATTCCAGACTCAACTGGGATCCGTCTTCACTCAGATCAAGAGCGTAGCTGAAAAACTGACTGGACAATAAATCAGTATTCAAGGCATTTAGAATAAAAGAACACCATAAAACATTGCCTCCTTGTTTGTTCTGTGAAGCATGAATGTGTGTAATCGTGTTGTACGCCATGTGTGAAACCCACAACCAATGTCAGTACATTCTGACAAACCCTACAAAAACTGGAATAAATGATTTTAACGATTAAAACACTGTTCTGTTTTTAAGTATTTAAAGGTGATTGAATTGAGAATACAGACAAAGGTGTGACATGGTTTTATTTCTCATGCGTTGAATTCTGATTGTGGAGTGAGAAAGAGTTGTTTTCGGCATCGAAAGCATCGTGGCTAAGAGTACAATTCTTTCATTATAATTAAAAAGTGTACACATGAATAATATTACATTTACAACTATAATGTGATCATTTTTGTATTAGATTTACATGTTCAAAACAAGAATTCTTATCAGAAGCCTTACATTTAGTAAGGAAATTCAATTCGACTCCCTGCATTCTTCCGCTTGAATCTAATGAAAATGATGATGGCCCATCTTACTTCGCTGATAATGAATATTGCCGATGTGACGTAAAGCATTAACTCACTCACTCACTGATAATGAGAAAACAGAAAATTTGAATGCATACTTTCAGTCAATTTTCAATTCTTTCTTTCGTACAGATGTAGGTCATCGGCCCATGCTACATTGTCTAATACAGTTCATTTGGTGGGGATCTTTATACACATTGCAGTGGTGGGGATCTTTATACACATTGCAGTGGTGGGGATCTTTATACACGTTGCAGTGGTGGGGATCTTTATACACATTGCAGTAGTGGGGATCTTTATACACATTGCAATGGTGGGGGTCTTTATACACGTTGCAGTGGTGGGGATCTTCATACACATTGCAGTGGTGGGGATCTTTATACACATTGCAGTGGTGGGGATCTTTATACACGTTGCAGTGGTGGGGATCTTTATACACGTTGCAGTGGTGGGGATCTTTATACACGTTGCAGTGGTGGGGATCTTTATACACATTGCAGTGGTGGGGATCTTTATACACATTGTAGTGGTCGGGATCTTTATACACATTGCAGTGGTGGGGATCTTTATACACATTGCAGTGGTGGGGATCTTTATACACGTTGCAGTGGTGGGGATCTTTATACACATTGCAGTGGTGGGGATCTTTATACACATTGCAGTGGTGGGGATCTTTATACACATTGCAGTGGTGGGGATCTTTATACACGTTGCAGTGGTGGGGATCTTTATACACATTGCAGTGGTTAGGATGTTTATACACGTTGCAGTGGTGGGGATCTTTATACACATTGCAGTGGTGGGGATCTTTATACACATTGCAGTGGTGGGGATCTTTATACACATTGCAGTGGTGGGGATCTTTATACACATTGCAGTGGTGGGGATCTTTATACACGTTGCAGTGGTGGGGATCTTTATACACATTGCAGATTAGCAGAAAATTGTCCTTCTTCACAGCCCAGCTCTATTTTCTCGGTACGTGTACATATATACCTGTCTCAATACATAACTCCTGTCAGCTACAGCGGAACTGTGCCATGGCATACCTGAATTTATTTATTGTTACTGCATTTATCTAAGGTTCAGAACATATATATAACAGAAACAATGAATAATGAAACATCTTAGAACTACTACACATCTCAGCATGCCGGTCTATATCAACACTGAATGATGAAAATACATGTTTGCCTAATTTTAATAAGCGAACAAGTGCTATGTTCGAAACTCTAAATGTAAATTAAAGTGAAATCGCAGATGTCATAAAATATTTACATTCAAAGATATCATCAATTCCTCGTTCGAGAAACATTCATAGGAATCCTTCTTCCCTTCAACATTTATCGTTTAGAAATAATACAGAAATAATACAAATATTTTTGGTGGTCTGGGATGGGTGCACAATAGAGCAGATAAATGACCTAAAAATGATTCAGCTAGAATAACCGTGGAATAACCTATTATAAATGTTCGTAGTTGTACCAGTGTAACATCCTTCAAATCTTGCATCTCAGAGCAACATTCATTGGCGCCACCCTATATTAGGTATGACAAAAAAATTAACATTATTCACAGAAAGTTACGCTGTTCCACAAGTTCACATAATTTGGATGTATTTAAAATAGGTTGGCCGACGTGCACCTGGCGGAACTTCATAGAAAACTCTTCCCATTATTTGTTTGAATGTCAATTATATACCAGTCAAAGAGAACAGCTTATATAAACATTGAAACGCATATTTACAAGTAACACAAGTGTACCAATCAATCTAAAACTTCTTTAAGGGAAGTTCCGACCAATCAAGAAGTCATTATATACTTAAATATTGTATCAATTAAAATATTATTATTATTATTATTATTATTATTATTATTATTATTATTATTATTATTATTATTCAGCTAAGCATACGCGATTTAATAACTTTGGACGATTTGTTTTGTACGTTGACTTTTGAGTCACGAACGCGTATCTTTTTCGGTCGTCATATGTTTTGTACACAAAGAGGAACATGTGTTCAATTGTAAAAGAACTATTAGTCCTATATCTTCTAGCCTTACCCGAACACTGTACTGAATGATATGTCGATGGATGGATAGTAATGTTGTCCTTATAATAGGCAAGTCAAGATAAGGAGATAGGCTAAAGACGTCTTTTATAAGAACACTTACTATTTATGTTACCTAGATATTATGATATAAACTAAGAAAATGCAAGTCCATATATCTAGATGTTTGCAGTTACCAGAGTACATTCCCTTTACAGGTTTTTTACTGGACATTAACCGTGGCCATGTCACCTGGTCATAGCACAGTTTATGCTTTAAGTTGGTTTATCCTTTCAATCTTATTTTCAATTTATTTATAATGAAAGGGTCCGATTTTTTCTGGCATGTCCGTTTTGCTGTGTGTGGTTCCATTGTCCACAGCGGGAAGATTACACACCCTAAGCCGGGGCTTACAACTGCTCCTACTGCCAGACTCCCAATCGCAAGCCTCTTCCCACTCGCTATAGTTTGCCTTGCTCCAAGGCTCCACAGAATGATAAATCTATGGATGTATAGTCGTTCTATAGTTATAATAGGCAAGTCTAGATAAGCGTAATCATCAACCAATGCATGTTCTGAGTTCTGAATCTCTGCACTGCGATATTTTGTTCCATAATAAGAGTTAGCTAATGTGTCATAGTCGAGTGAACGTGAACTACCTGATGATTATGTTTTTAACATACCTGGTTTCTTATCAATTATTAGCAATAGCGATTATCTAAGTTAATCAGATTTCGTTCTTGTTAACGGAAACTATAATATCACAAGTAAATTTATGAAACAAGTCTGTGTTTTCAGACAGATACCCAGATAAACGATTTTCTGTTATCTTGCACGTTTGACATTGCACACATTTCAAGTTTTAAGAAAAATTAAGATTAAAATACATCGGCGATGAATGCAGATCGGAATTGATCTCCAGCAACCTAAA